GCCCTACCCTTTTGAGCCACAGGAGCCGCCCAGAACACACTTTCAATATGGCTTTAGTATCTGGTAGGGCCAGAATGACCTCTCTCCTTCTACTATTCTTTTTCTGAATTTTCCGGGATACTTATGTCTATTTTTTTTCTAAGAGTTTTAGAATTAACCTAACTCAGAAAATTTCTATTAAGATGATGCTAAATGTATAAATTAAGAAAACTGGACAGATTTACAATGTTGAGCCTTCCACACAACACTGTAACAGTTTTGAAGAGTAAATTAATTACAACAAGGCATACAATCTCTTCAGTGAGTTCCTTTTTTTATTTTTATGTTTTTTTTGGGACAGAGGCTCACTTTGTCACCCTTTGTAGAGTGCCATGGCGTCCTAGCTCACAGCAACCTCAAACTCTTGGGCTCAAGTGATCCTCTTGCCTCAATTTTTTTCATTTTCATTTTTAACAAAGACAGGGGTCTCACTCTTGCTCAGGGTGGTCTTGAACTCCAGAGCTCAAGCAATCCACTCACCTCAGCCTCCCAGAGTGCTAGGATTATAGGTGTGAGCCACAATGCCCAGTCTCCAGTTAGTTTCTTGCAAAGACTTGGAGCTGATGGATAAATTATCATCTCCATCTAGCTAAACAATAACCTTGAATAATTTATGTCATTACCTCTTTAGGAACTTTTCTTGGTTAATCGTCTGGAGTAATTTCTCCCTCCTTTGAATTCCTAAGCATTTCTTTTCTTTGAGACAGAGCCTCAAGCTATCCCCCTGGGTAGAGTGCCATGGCATCACAGCTCACAGCAACCTCTACCTCCTGGGCTCAAGCGAGTCACCTGCCTCAGCCTCCCAAGTAGCTAGGACCACAGGTGCCTGCCACAATGCCTGGCTATTTTTTGGTTGCAACTGTTGTTGTTTTGGTGGGCCCTGGCTGATTCGAACCCACCACCTTAGATGTATGTGGTTGGTACCTTAGCCGCCTAAGCCACAGGCGCCGAGCCATTCCTAAGCATTTCTTACCCAAAGTATGTGTCACTTACCATATCCTACTTCATATTCTAAGGTGCTTGAGAGGTCACTATCAAGTATTGAGGCTGCTTTTCCTCAGATAACTTCCATAAGAGACACAGGAAGACAATGCCATTTTTCACCACCACACAGATAGTTCATCTCCCTACCTCTACTGCATGTACAGAGACTACACTAGGAGCAGTTAAACATCTTCATCTGTACTTTGACACATTAACTGAGTTGTGAGTTGTATTTAACATATGCTAGTTTTGAGCCTGGGGCCTCAAGAAACATACATAACTCATTTGTCTCTTGACACATCTTGACCCATCTTGACCTAATAAAACACCATGGCCCCAAGGAAAAACAAATTTTTTTCTAGTATGAGAGGCAATGTGTTAAACAATTCCAACACTGAATAAAATAACTTAAGTATGCAAAGCTAAAAGAGGCTTTTAATGATGATGTCATACAAGAAAGATTTGTAGCTGTGTAGAAGAAAGGAAATTAAGAGGTTTTTTTTGGTTTCTCTTCTCTTGCTGATATACTTTCAGGAAAGGGGCAGAGCAGGGACCCTCTGAAAGCTCAGGAAGCCACTTTTAGAGGCCATGGAGTAGAGACATGAAGAGTTAGGACAGTAACATAGAGGCGGAGGAGTATGGGAGAATATGTGGGTTGGGACATTAATTCATTCAAGAAAAATTTGTAAGTACTTACTATATGTCAAACATTATGCTTGGTGTTGGTGGATGTGGATGTGAATAGAAATCATGTATTAGTTCAGCACCTGTGGCTTAAGTGGCTAAGGCTCCAGCCACATACACCTAAGGTAGTGGGTTCAAATCCAGCCCAGGCCCGCCAAAACAATGATGGCTGCAACCAAAAAATAGCCAGGTGTTGTGGCGGGCGCCTGTGGTCCCAGCTACTTGGGAGGCTGAGGCAGGAGACTCGCTTGAGCCCAGGAGTTGGAGGTTGCTGTGAGCTGTGATGCAACGGCACTCTACCCAGGGGGACAGCTTGAGGCTCTGTCTCAAAAAAAAGAAAAGAAATCATGTATTTTCTTTCTAAATAACTAGTTTTTAAGTCCAGAGGTGCAGAAAAGCTGAAATAGCAGGCAAAAAGGAATCCTGACCCATGAATCACAAATTAAAATTCCCAATATGTTCAAAGTGGGCTTTTTCTGCGACTGTTCAATGCTACACTGAGTAAGTTCAATGAGACATAGAATCTAGAAGACAATATTTGCTATTCACTTTTTCTTCTTTTTTGTCTTTTTTGTCTGTCAAATGCTTCTCCTACTTATTCTTTTCCTAGTTCAAACAAAAACACAATCTTCAGAGTTTCCATGCTAAAATCCTGACCATGATGATCCAAGGTATTCTTTTTTTGGTTGTGACAAGGAAGGGAAGGGGTCCCACTGGCACTTAGTGGGTGAGAGTCATGGATACTAGATAGCTTACCAATATCAAAACAGTCCTATAAATGTGTCCCATAACCTCAATGACTTTTAAATATCCTACTCAACATTAATGTAGGTAAATACTGTTTATATTTATCTTAGCCTTAACAACCTAACTCTAATTCACAAACACAAAGTATTTTTTGTACAATTTGAACATACATTGAATTTTCCAGGATAGTAATAACTTTTCTTTTTTTTTAGAGACAGAGCCTCACTACGTCACCCTCAGTAGAGTATACAGCTCGCAGCAACCTCCAGCTATTGGGCTTAGGTAATTCTCTTGCCTCAGTCTCCTGAGTAGCTGGGACTATAGGCGCCCACCACAATGCCCAGCTATTTTTTGTTGCAGTTTGGCCAGGGCTGGGTTCAAACCCACCACCCTCAGTTCATGAGACTGGTGCTCTACTCACTGAGCCACAGGCACTGCCCAACAGTAATAATTTTATCAACCAGGTAAAGATTATATTTTGCTTTGCTTGGAAATCTACTAAGAACTGTTCACTATCATAGAAACTCCTACTACAAAGGCAATAAAACCCACTGTTTGTAGTTCTTGCACTTATGATGCTAGTGACTATTTCTCTGTCTTCTAGTGCAGTCATGTCTAGTTACATACTACTTGAAATACATACTACTTAACCATAAGTTACTTTCATTGCATTTATTCTTTATATTATATTTAAGATTTACACTAATTATTTCCCTTTAAAATTATTCATAGAAGTAGGTTATACGTACCTACCAGTTTCATTTCAGGTGACGTTACAAAGTATTTGCTATTAAAAGGGAAAATGGAGTGTGATAGGGTTGAGAACCAGTGTTCTACGTAGTCAATTTAGATTTCTGAATTAACTTCTGCTTACCTTTTGCAAAGGAACTTTGAAAGCAATGAAACGAGTCCCAGGCATCCGCTGTCCAACTGGAATATAGTCTTTCCACCTATTGGGTATATTTTTTGTTAGCCAAATTGTATGTTAACCTTGTTACCCTGCAGAGAATGACACTACCTGAAAATGGGAATCACAGTCCACACAGTATGTTCCCTCTTCTCTCTGCTTTACATTTTACCACTCCATGTATTCAACCTTGATTTATACTATCTTTCCTGTTTCCTCATTTTTTTTTTTGTAAGAGTCTTGCTCTATTGCCCTGGGTAGAATGCAATCTCATCATTGTAGCTCACTGCAATCTCAAACTCCTGTGCTGAAGTGATCCTCTTGCTTCAGCCTTCTGAGTAGCTGAGACTAGAGGCATGTACCACCAGACCCAGTTAATTTTTCTATTGTTTAGTAGAGACAAGGTCTCACCCAGACTAGTCTCAAATTCACTTTCAAACCCCTAGTTTGAAAGCCTGACCCACCACACCCAGCCCCATTTCCTCTTTTTGAAAATATACAAGGCTACAAAATAATGCAAAGTTCTCCACAAATAAGACATAACGAAAACCAGAAATGACTAGAGCTTCTGTATCCCTGATAAAACTTAGTCCAGTTCCAAATACTAAGGCTATATGTATAATACATACATATACAAGGCTACAAGATATAGACAATAGGTACCAATAATAGGTCAGGCAAGACCGGTAATAGGATGCTGACAGAACAAAGTTGACACATTCCAAAGATAACTGAGAAATAAAATGAAAGAGACTTAAAGAAGTATAAAATAGGGGACAGAAGGCCAAGGGTGGTGGTTCATGTCTGTAATCCTAGCACTCTGGGAGGCCCAGATGGGTGGATTGCTGGAGGTCAGGAATTTGAGACCAGTCTGAGCAAGAGTGAGACCCTGTCTCTACTAAAAATAGAATAACTAGCTAGGCATAGTGGGGCAGGTCTGTATTTCCAGCTACTCAGGCGGCAAAGACAAGAGGATCACTTAAGCCCAGGATTTGGAAGATGCTGTTAGCTGTGACACCATGGCACTCTACCAAGGGCAACACAGTGAGACTGTCTCAAAAAAAAAAAAAAAAAAAAATCAGGAGACAGGAAGTCTCAAGGAATGAAACAGTTCACTTAAGAGCAAAGTGTCAAAAATCAGTCATTCGAACGTATAAAGGAAGATCTCTCAAACAAGACCTGTTCAAAAGGAACATAACAGGTTCTTTGTGATTTCTGTAGGCATAAACCAACTTTCCATGTAAGATCTCAGGGCGGCACTGCTGGGTTCATTTACTCAAACTATTACTCACCTTTTCTGTCAACATAGCATAACTTAAAGAAGAAGGGGTTCAATATTGGTAATTAAGGAGTGCCCCCAACACTAAGAGTCCCGCATTAAAGTACTCCTTCCAGATTTTAGCTCAGAACGCCGGCCAGAACTCGCTTTTAAAAGTAGACAGAGAAATCACAGGACATAACAGACATTGTCCCTATTAGCAACTGCGGGTGGCGCACAAAAAGTCAATGCCTCCAAGCAATGTGGTGGACAAGCCAAGCGCGCGGCTGTGACAGTGAGAGGCAGAGATCACAACAGATGGAGGCCAGGCCCAGAAATTACGAGCTGGGAGGACCGTGCCCAGGCATCAAGGTATATTTTACCTTTCCGGGATGTGGTTTCCGCCCTTCCTCTTGGCAGAGGAGCGTCCAGAAAAGTCGCCTCCCCGGCCCCAGCCACTGCGGGCATGATGCCGCTGGCTCATATGGACCCCAAGAAGCCGCCTACCCAAAGCCAAGCCGGCCAAAAGCGCCAGTCCGGCGCCCTTGGTGCCTGAAAATGACCCTCCACCGGAAGAGCCTCACCAGAAACCCACACAGCGCCCAAGACCTCCTATTGCGCATGCGCCGCCGCCCACGTGATCGCGTCACCGCGCCGGTTTACAGAGTTCTATTTGTAAACAAGACTTTAAGAGCTATAGCGCCCTCCTTGGCTGGTGGCCAGTAGCACAGATAGAGGAGGTCGCGTTTGCACCCTTCGGAATTCAATTGGGGGTCACACTGCCTCCCATTCCATGTGTGTTCTTCCAGATATTTCCAAGTGCTTACATCGACATTTTGTATATTGTGTATAAATATTGACTTTCACATATGTATATCCCTTATTTTTATATAAAAGAAGCATCCTGAACATACTCTATGATATTTCTAGAATACCGATTTCCCAATTTATATGTACCTCCATTCTGTTTTTTAATGACTGTACAGCATGTCATTGATTATAAGTAACATAGATAAAAGCACCATAATTTATTCAACCAGTCCAATATTGATAGACCTTTAGTTATTTTAGTTTTTTTTTAATCTTCTGTTGCAGACAATGCAGCAATATAAACATCCTTACACAGATATACAATTATATCTAAATTCCTAACAGTAGAATTTCTGGAATTAAACATACATACATTTTTTAAAGATATGGCCTAATTACTCTCCAAAAATATTGTATGAACATACACGCTTATTCATGGACTGGTTTTTGTTGGGTTCCTATCCCATTGCTGGTATCATGCTAGAGGTGAACAGCATATATTTATGTTTTAGAAAATACCAAACAACAACTGAGGAGGGAGCTCAAGTTCAAGGTTTCTACACAGGATTAGCTATAAAGCTCTGTACTTAGAAAAACTTTGAATTCTGCTATAAGTAGAATAGCAGAGCATGATCTATAGTAGGTCTGAAGACAGAATAGAGTACTAAATTCTAGATTAAATTGTAAGTAATTATGATAGAAGATTATTAAAATAATTTTCACTTTCTAGCTTTTAGTTGATGCAAGTACCTTATATACATTTTTAGGAATTTTCACAACCATTTTAAAGCTTGGTAAACTAATGATCAGAAAGGTCACAGTTATTGAATAAATGAAGAAATGAATGAAGAGGTAAAAAGTCTACTAGCTTTGTTAATGTTTTGAGACGATGATATTCCAACCTTACATACATAAGCATTTCCGATTCTGAAAATTTCCACATAATTAAAATTGTTGCAGTATTAGTAAGTTGTTAATTGGAAAAAGACAAGTGAGGCTCAGCGCCAGCCACATACACCAAGGCTGGCGGGTTCAAACCAGGCCTGCTAAACAACAATGACAACTACAACAAAAAAATAGCCTGGCATTGTGGTGGGCGCCAGTAGTCCCAGCTACTTGGGAGTCTGAGGCAAGAGAATCGCTTAAGCCCAAGAGTTTGAGTTTGCTGTGAGCTGTGACACAATAGCACTCTACTGAGGGCAACATAGTGAGATTCTGTTTCAAAATTAAAAAAAAAAAAAGACAAGTTAATATCAGATAACTTGCAAACCTATAATTAGGCATATTCAAATTCACCATTAATTTATAAAATACTCTTTAGGAGTTTATGAAAAATCCAATAGATATACAGTGGCCAGAAAGTGCAAATGGTACAACTGTCTATAGACATGACAAGATACAAAATGTGACATAAATCTATCAGAAGCCAGAAAAGCTACATTGATACTATACTTCCAATTTGCTAAAAGACACAAACACTCCAGACCTAGGAAGAGTAGGGTTTCTAGAAAGTATGGGAACTAGAAAAACACAGGCTTTGGATGGGAGTGGATACATGAAGTAGAAGAAGGTCTTCACACGTGTGTGGTACTCTGGAATGGAAAATATATGAGCAAGGGATATTAGGAGCACCAAACAGCTAAGTAATTGGTACTAATAAATCTACCATTATCTGGTAGGGCCATAGGTACCACGTATGGGTTTGAAGGATTCCAGTCTTTAATAAAACAAAAAAGAAACTATGGAGAGAGTAAAAAGGGGGCTTCAGGGGTAGAAGGACTGAGTATGCTACACCAAGATAAGTCCAAGTTATCCAAATTAAGTCTAATTAGATAAAAAATTCAGGGAATGGGTCTCTGAGACAAGACAACACAACACTATAAAAACTGAGGCTTTAGGTCATGATAGAACTTGATGCTGGAACTTAAGTTCCAGAGTGTTGGATTAAAGCTCTTTATTTTTCTTTTATGTTTAGTTTTTTATAGAGACAGGGTCTTATTACCTTGTCTGGGATGGTTTCAAACTCCTGGACTCAAGCAATCTTCCTACCTCACCTCCCAAGGTGCTGGGATTACAGCTGCACACCACGGTGCCTGGCTTTCGGTTCTTCCCCGTACATTTAAAGATTTATTTTAGAGGTTAAGATGACACAAACTAAAAGAGTGCAAGCTAAAATTAAGTAGCTAACACTATGAGGAGAAAATAGTTCTAGAGGCTGGGTAACACCAAAAACGATAGTATTGCATAAATAGAATTGAATGTTAGAAATGAATATTATAATATGTAAACATTTTATTGCTATCAGAAATGATCCTACCATAATCCTCCCCAACTTATACCACCCACCCTAAACTATAGTAGTTAATTCCCTGGATTTCCATGAAAACATTGAGGAAACAGAGACTGGTCTGGTTTGCAGATCTTAGTACATGTTGTTAGTTTCACATTATATGCTAGTATCACAGAAGTAGGCTCTCTGAGGTATGAAGCTAAGAGCAAAGGGAAAAAACTTTGAAAAACTTTACATAGCTTAAGCCCATCTCTAAATTGCCACACCTTTCATAATTTCTTCTCAGAGAAGCATTACCCTTTGCACACACAATCACTAAGAAAACTCCTATCTCATAATATGAAGCATTGTTGGAAGAGATGGGAAAATAGATCTATTTGCCTTTAGAGACCCAATCTTGAGCTTATATTCTCTTGAGTTCTTAGCACCTGTATTATTCACATAAATTCACTTGCATTAGAAAAGTCCCTAGACAGGTTGAGATGGACATCACTAAAAACTTCCTACCACCAAAAAAAAAAAAAAAAAAAAGATTATATCCATAGATTTCCTCCCCCAGACCGGCTTAGTCTGTATCTATATCATTAGTAACTCGGCCCTAACTTTATCAGGGAGAAGTTAGTGGGAAAAGCATTAACCAAGAGAACAAAAATGAAGGCAATCCAGGCCAAAGTGGGCTGACTGCAGACATCTGTTCCTTATACTTGGGCGCACCGTACAACTCACCATACCTATTCCCAGACTCCTCTTTAATTTCCTCCACAAAACCCATCGGGTCAAAATTAGTTCATGGTGCTTCAAAACAATCAAAAAGAGAAAGACATGCAACATGTTTTACAATGTTAGATTCCTTAAAAATATGACAAGAAAAAAAATGTAGAAAAGCAGACATTTAAAAGAGATCTGTAGTCTACAAATATACTAATGAATGACATAGATGAGGTAATATGACATAAAACACAATGAAAAAATACATTTAAGATTATTCTCTTCTGTGTACAGAATTCATAGTAGTTTCTGGACTGTGTAGCTACATTTTAAAATATTGGTTTATGTGTTCTGTTAATTGAAGATGAGATCAAAGTGTGTTCTCTTGTTTCTCACAGAAACTAAAAAATACCCTCACCTTGCCTGTACCCTATTCTCCACTAATGTCTTCTTCTTTCTCTTAACTATTCTCCTCTTCATTTTGCCTGGCCTTGTGCCTGAGCATGGCAGACAGAGAATCCCAGAGGCCCAGGATTCTAAGTAGCTGTTTGCAAGGGGGAGGAGGCTACAGTAACTGCCACAATGGAGTCTCATATGTGAGAAAAAAGAATATTCTGAATGCCTCTCACATATAAAAGAGAAGGCTGGCAGGATGTCTGTAGTGCTCAAGGAGCCAGAGGTGGTAAATTATGGGCAAAAGAATTGAAACCAGAGACTGAAAGAGAGACAGTCTGCAGTCAGCTTTATCTTCTACCTCCCTGGTGTTTGCTTCTAATGGGCAGAGTCCGTGTTTTGTACATAATGGCACAGAAAAGAAGACCCCTGCTCTGGAAGTGACAGGAAGTAACATCGCCAATGTAAGAAAGCAAGATCAAGGCTTGTCCCAGAAACAATGTGCAAAATCAAGGGGGAAAGGGGAAGAGCAGAGAGATGCAAGTTCAACATGGCCCAGCCCAGCTCAGCCCAACCCAAGGAAAATAGCATTCAAGAAGAAACTAAAAAGAAGCACCTTGGACCACATTATTTTCTACAGGTGCACTCAATGAACTTCACCCTACTCATCAACCAAGTTATAAAAAGAGCTCTTTAATCCCTCCCTTTGGTCTTTCAAAACTGTAGTAAGTTCACTAAACAAATCAACATCTGTAATTGCTCAACCTAGTTGTCCCTTTCCTTCCTACCCAATGATATTGCCTATTTATTTTTATACAGGGTGTCCATATATAGTTTGTGTGCAATTTAAAGTAGACAACTGTTTTAAATCTATTTAAAAGCTAAATAGATTAAATCTAAAATACTATTTTAAATCTAAGTAGTTGTCTATTTTAAATCACACAAAAACTATATGGACACTCTGTATAATTATAAATGTTATAATATTATAACATTGTGACCATAACATACTAAATATGAATAACTGTTAGTTCATTATATTAATGAACATCTGTAAGAAACTTTGAGATGACGTCCCTAGCATAAGGGCCTGGGACTATCATGTCTGTCTTTCAGCTTTCCACAGCTCAGCTGTGACAGCTCCCCGACCACTCCCTCCACCCAATTCCTTCTTCTTATTGGGAATCCGACCTCCCCATTGGCTACCTCATACCTTTAAACTGCCTGCTTTGTGACATCATTCTCCCACCAAACCTACCAACACCTGGTAGCATCTTGGGGTTTCCATGGAGCTGTTTATAAATAAATTTGGATCATCGCAATGACCAATGACCAGTAACCAGTAGCCAATGGCCAGTAGTCAGTGACCAGTAGCCAGTGACCAGTGACCTCCATACTGGACACATGCGCTCTTTGGCTTCAGCTACTCAGACATCTTCTGGTATTGTCTCCTCATCCCTTTTATCTTCCGTTGATGTTTCCTCTTCTCTGACTATGTCAGGTAAGGAAGGAAACATTTAAAAGTTTTCGATTAGATTTATAGCCCCCTACATTTAGTAGCAGAGTCAAAACAGCTTGGAATAATGGGGGAAAGTATTGAACAAGAAACCTAGAAGCCTAATCTCATTTTTGGCTTTGACATTTATTAGCTGTGTGACTTTGGAACTCTCAAAATCTGTTTCCTCATTCTGTTATATTAAGATAATAGACAGGTTATCCTTTCTGGTCTCCTTCTAATATTGAGGGGATTTTTTTGTTTTTCTTTGAGATAGAGTCTCATTATGTGTCACTCTCAGTAGAGTGCCAGGGCGTCACAGCCCACTGCAACCTCAAACTTGTGGGCTTAAGTGATTCTCTTGCCTCAGCCTCCTAAGTAGCTGGGACTACAGGCGCCAGCCACAATGCCTGGCTGGGTTTTTTTTTGTTGTTTGGCAGGCCCAGGCCGAGTTCAGACCTGCCAGCCCTGAGCTATAGGCGCTGCCCTAATATTGAATCTTAAAGGGCATGCATACTGAAAATGAAATCAGATACTTTTTTTTCTTTTCAGCCTAAAATATCCAGAGAAATCAGATACTTTTTGAGAGTTAATTGTTTCATCAGAAACTGATGATAAAAAACTCAGCAGTGTAGGAAACAAGCATTATATAGTAAGATGTTTTATCTGTAATTGTCTCCAGTCACTAATATTTCAAATTCAGTGTTTTAAATTTAGTGCTGATCAAAAAGTAATATTCAATTATCTTGGGGTTGTGAGGGGGAATGCTTGAACCCAGGAGTTTGAGGTTGCTGTCAGCTAGGATGCCATGGCACTCTACCCAGGGCAATACAGGAGACTTTGTTTCCAAAAAAAAAAACTAATAATCACAAGTTTGGATTTTCTATCTAAACATTGTGAAATGAAAAAATAGGGAGATAATGGAGGGTATTGGGCGGTAAAGAGGCAGATATTCTAGGTTAAGGAAGTTTGGGACTGTTTTCATTAAACACAGCTCAACAGGAAAGAACTAGGAGGGAAAATATATAAATGAGGAGAAAATATAAGAATGAATCTATGGAGATCATGAACGAGTTCGTAGTTTGGGACAAAATGTTGAAGAGAATCAAAGATTTTAAAGCAAGAGGAGCATGGAATGAAATCTACATAGCAGGGCAAAATGAGTTGGTTTTAGCAAATTAATGGACTAAAAAGGAACTAAGACTAGAATGTCACTGGAAAAATCAGTTTATCTGAAAAGTAGGAATAGTTTGGGTTTTTTCTATTGCCTCCTTGAACACAGGTGACAGTTGACAGTTTTGAAGATAAACATTGTTTTAATTTAAACTTTTGTTCTTCTTAACTTCTCCCACCCCTTAGCCTGAATATAAACATTTTAAAAATACATTTATATGCTTCCTATAAACAAGAAACTAATAAAAGAGGTTACCTGGGGGGGAACCCGAAGAAACAGAATTTGCAGTGTTTCATTCTGATTGTAAACTATATGGATATTTCTCCTATTAAAAATAATACTGAGGGTTTTTTTTTTAATGATGTATCCTACCTTGCAGCAGAAGGACAGATTCATTTGTATAAGTAGGATTCAAGTAAAGTTTGCTTTTCATATTTGTTTTTTCATTCTAAAACAGAGTGTATACTGATTAACAGTCATTCACTATTTTTAAACCTAAAAAGAAAAAGAAAGACCCGCCTAAGAATAAAAAGAAAAATCCCTACACCTCTAATTCCACATTTATCTAAAACAATTTTCTAGGCTCCTTTGGGAATTCCTACATTAAATTTTTTAATTAGATTTTAGCAGTGATGGTTTTCTTAGGCTTTGGGAATGAATGACATTTTCTTGGATATTGAAGATAACTATAATCTAGGTTTTGAGGATAATATAAAAACCTTCATGATACTTTTTAAGTGTTCTTTTCGCATTGTTATATAGCTATATGATTTAAATATCTACTTTTACTGGGCTTGATATCTGTCATTTTCTAGGTAATAGGGAATTATGACTGAGCACAATAATTGAACTCCTTTACACTTACTGTTTTGTTCTCTGCTTTATACCCTTTTTTCTTTTTCTTTTTTGTTATCTTGTAATTTTTGATTTTGTGCATGCTTACTTAATTCATTTTGCTTTTTACACGTTTTATTGATAGTTTCTCTGTCGTTACAAATTCATTCAAAGTACCTTCAATTGCAGTCTGTTTTTTGGTTAATAGCATTCACTAAAATAGTAGATAATGTTCATTTGCATAATGTAACATGTATCATAATTAGTAAGTTTATTCATTTATTAGTACGTTTACTGTTCTTTCATGTTTGCACACATCCCAGTTTTCATTCATAGCTATATATTCAGCCAGGTGTGCTGGCTCACACCTGTAATCCTAAAACTCTGAAAGGCCAAGGTGGGTGGATTGCTTGAGTTCTCAAGTTTGAGACCAGCCTGAGCAAAAGCAAGACCCTGTCTCTACTAAAAATAGAAAAACTGAGGCAAGAGGATCGCTTGAGCCCAAGAATTGGAGGTTGCTGGAGCTATGATGCCAGGGCACTCTACCCAGGGTGGCAGCTTGAGACTCTGTCTCAAAAAAAAAAAAAAAAAAAAAGAGGGGCTGTGGCAGTACACTGGGACCTGGCTGTGGTGGTTGTGAGGCTAATGAGAAATTACTAAAGTTCCCAGGGAAGCAATGTAGAATTTACTGAGAATGTTATGGATGGAGAGGAAAAAACCTATGGTGGCTGTGAAGGGCCTGATGCCATGGATGTCAAATTGATATCTTCCGATGGTCATGAATTTATTGTAAAAAGAGAACATGCACTAACATCAGGAACAATAAAAGCTATGTTGAGTGGTCCAGGTCAGTTTGCTGAGAATGAAACCAATGAGGTCAATTTTAGGGCAATCCCTTCACATGCACTATCAAAAGTATGCATGTATTTTACCTATAAGGTTCGTTACACTAACAGCTCCATGGAGATTCCTGAATTCCCAATTGCACCTGAAATTGCACTGGGACTGCTGATGGCTGCGAACTTCCTAGATTGTTAAATAAAATAAATTGTAATAAACTGTTAATTTTTTCAGTATTTGATACCTGTAGTTCAGTTAGTAATTTTTTCATATATAGCATGCTGTCTGTATGCAGTTGAACTATAAAGTTCATTGCAAAACAGATTATCTTGTTTTTTGCATAGCAATCAGGGTTGAAGTTTGTTTGCTATATCAACAAATTAAGGACATTTTCACAAACAGAAATAAACAATATGCCAATTTGTAGGTGGTTTTGCTTTATCCTTTGGATGTGACTTTTAAAAGTCGAGCAATGATGATACAGTAAATGCTGACATTTAGGCATAAATGAACACATACTACAGGTAAAAAATGGGGCTAAGTATTTTTATGTTTTTAGCGTTTTTTTAAAAACCTATCCTGGTCATATAGACGCTGTTAGCATTACTAGAGTTATGCAAATAATTGCATTATAAACATGTTTATATGCAAAAAACATTGATTTTTTTATAACTCTTCAAGAATAAGAGTTGAAATTTCTTATGTCTTTTGATAAACTGCAGTATTGTTTAAGTGTATCTTGTCTTTTTGTTTGTTGCTACAATTTAAGAAATTTATTTAAAAGCAATTTGGGGAGGTAACTAGGTATAGCTTTTGAAGCAGTAACTGAACTATATAGTCAGATGGTCAACAAGTAAACTACATGACTTAGAATGCTTGTGCATTGTGCATTTTGGACTGATCAAAGTATTGTATTTTCATTGACTATAAAATTTCCTTTGCAATTTTCCAAAAAAACTATATATTCTTTTTAGTTCTGTGATAAGTTTTTTTATGATTTTTTTCTGTCTTTCCAAAACTACTATGTCTTCCTCCACATAAACTATACATAGTATATCACTTTTATTCATGTATCACTGAATTATCACTGCCATTATTACTATTTATAACTACTTTACAGAAGAGTAATCTGAAGCTCAGAGAGTTTAAATAACTTTTTTCTTTCAAAAGCATTTCTTGCCAGGAGTGATAGCCCATGCCTATAATCTTAGCATTTTGGGAAGCTGAGGTGGGTGGATCGCCTGAGCTCAGGAGTTTGAAACCAGCCTGAGCAAGAGCAAGACCGCGTCTCTACTAAAAAATAGAAACACTAATTAGGTGTTGTGGTGGGCGCCTACAGTCCCAGCTCCTCGGGAGGCCGAGGCAAGAGGATCTCTTGAGCCCAAGAGTTTGGAGTTGCTGTGAACTATGACACCATAGCACTCTACCCAGGGCAACAGAGTGAGACTCAAAAAAAAAAAAAA